AACCATTATACATAGACTAAAAAATAGTACATACAATATTTCCTTCATGTTTCTGTACAATTTTGCTAAAGATTTGCATGGTTGTAACATTTTAATGCACCTACATTCAATATTGTCTCGATGGCCCAGACATCTATCCTAATGACATTATAATACTCTCTTAGCTGAAACGGTTTAAATGTATGGCCAGCAACGTAAGTATGTTGTTAAATCGTCCCCTAAAGACTGAACGAGAATCATCTGCCCCGAAGGTCCAAACGTTTGACAGCCACGTTTTTTTATCTTTCTGGCATTTTTCCATATTTAGGACTTCCCGTTTTACTAATCGTTAATCATTTGATTTAACCTTAATTATGAACATACTAATTGCACGCGTTCGTTTCTTCCACAATAACGTACCAGTATCTCTATAGTTTACGCGAGTAGTACACATTTAAATAAAACCTTTAACGGTTTAAAACGCGATATATTAGTTATTTTTAACTTCGGCCCGACGTTTTGGATGCTTTGCAGCAGCCATGGTCATGGGGAGACAGGCGTAGTCTCGTAGTTTAATTAATACATTTCGCGTTTTATTATTCTTAAACCATAAAAGTGATTTTTTTTAATGTCATTGCTTTTGTCTTGCTAAAACAATCATTTTTTGAAAATACATCGTTTCCGTAACAAACACATTAAACAATCCTTTATAATTTTTGATCCATCATCCAAACTTAAAAATACGATGTTAATGACTGGATCGGCTATGCACATAATAGTCTCTTTTCTTTAATTTATTTTAACAATAATGTAATATTGTAGTTATATTATGAGTTAAAAGATATTTTCAATTGCTTGTATACAGCATTCTCTTATAAAAGTCCTCCGTCAACCCCTGTACCACAACATTCTGCGGAAGAGTTGATAGTGGCGGCTGCATTTTATTAGTGTCCTTATGAGGCAGTAAAAACTTATTGCGACATTACCCCGACGCTGGAAATAGCCTTTTAAACTCCTGAAAGCTGAATACGGTAGTGGGCGATCTGACATTACCTACCGTCTGGACAAGAAATGCTTTTAAAAGTTTTAGGATTTTTTTTATTATGACAGGACAGTACACGAAACGATGTTTATCAAGTTGTACATGTGATAAATACTCCTTTAGACATCAATCAACTTATACATTTATACACTTCACAATACTTGCTTCACTAATGGCTGTCGTCAGCCAATTGCACCCGACACCTTAAATTTTATTGCACATACAACATATATGTATTTGATTATTTAAAGCTAACATAATATATTACTTTACAATAGAGGTACCGTACCATTGCTTAAAATTATATAAGATCTCTACTGTGATGTATGTGTATGCAATTGTAATGTCTCAAACATTTGATACTTGCTTATGGGTGTTGACAAGAAGACTAATAAAATGTGTTTAATTAAATAAAAAAAATAACGGTTTAAAACGCGGAATATATTCGTAAAACTTATTAACAAATTATTTTAACTACGGCTCGAAGTTTTGGATGCTTTGTAGCAATCGTGGTCATGGGTAGACTAAAGACAGAGGGTGTCTATAATATTGAAATAAAAACTGCTACGCTAACGCCATCTGTTCCGTCGTAGTTGGTATTTGGCGAAACTGGCCGGGGCTTGCAGAATTGTAATTGAAAATGTATGTAATACATCCATAGCAACTAAATGTTATAAATTAAGTTTGTTTTTCTTATAATAGTTCTCGGTCCATTATGAGCCATGAGCAGACCTTCCTATTCTAGTTCTGAACTATTTCCAAACCCTTTAACCCAGCCTACTCTATAGACACACTCAGTTTAACATCATTAGTAATCAAATCATAAGTTTACACACGTTACTATTCGAAATAACGTAAGGTAGGTCTCAATCTATTTATTTCGAATCTAAAACATTCACACATTACCGTAATTTGATTACGATTAAAACCAGACGCGGTTATTTCGTACAAATATTGATGTTATGTTTCCTGTTATATTGAACTTTTATTGCACATCGCTTTCAACTCTGCTAACGAGGAATTTTAATTCCGCTGATAGAATTCTATGCGCGCGAATATTAATATGTAGAGAATATTGAAAAATTTCTAGAATTAGCTCAAAATAGAACTAGTCAGCGATTTGGGAAGCGCATGAATTATTGTAAGCTGTAATTATTTAGGCTTTGATTTACAGCTCAACCATTTAGTAAATAATATTAATATTACAATAACTGTGTTATTCGTATTGTTTAAATAAAATATTGTAACGGTTCAAAACGCAAAATAAATTGGTTAAACTTATTTAAACAATATTTTACCTACTGTGCGACGTTTCGGATGCTTTGTAGCAGCCGTGGTTAGGGGACTACAATAAGTTTAACTAATATATTTTGCGTTTTAAACCGTTGAAGTGTTTAATTTCAATGTGTACTCTCATAAACTAAAGGCAGTCTTCAGTTACTGGTCGTTTATAACGATTTTCAATTCAAAGTGTTTCTCCCAGAAATTCAAACAAAGAACATAAAAATCGTCACTCCTAGTTGCTTAGGATTAAGAACGATAATCTACCGTTACGTCTAAATACAGGCAGATCACACGCCTCGTCATAGGATCATATTTTTATAATAGAGTACAATTATAGAAATATGTCAAGTAAAGAGGTAGATACTAATTCCAAATCTTTTTAAAGCTTTACCTTCGCTGAAAATATTATCATTTTCCGTTTTAGCAAAAGTGGGCAGCGTTTTGAATTTAGTGGAAATTTTAAAGAGTAATCCGTTTGAAATAAAATTGGAAGCATTTTTCACGCTTTTCCTGGAACATCTGACAAGTAACAAGTTCGTTGGTGGTAACAGCGTGAGTGTCTTAGCGCGTTTGACATGAGCGCTAATTTCAAAGACACGTCTAGTTTAAGCTCAAAGTAATTTTGAAAATTCAAATGAAATTTAATAAGCGTTTAACCGCATTTAAACGAGCTGAGGTAAACAGTTGGCATATAGAAACACAATACAACAAATAGTTTTTAAATTTATCGATATATAACCAATAATAATTATATGCTATAAAAATATTTTATGATTATTTCAAAACATAAACATTCTTATTTTGGGGCATAGCTATTATTTTTTATTTTGAGTTCGAATGAAACAATAAAAATAAATTTTGTTTCCCCGATACCAGAGACGAAATGCAAGAGATATTAACTGTCATTTGAATTTAAGATTAGGACAGACGTCTCGAAATATGAAGATCAAAATTAGTGCGTAAACTTTATCATCTGTAAAAATGGGTCCTTCATTCTTTTATATTGCATTACACGAGTATCTTCTTGTGCTTGCGTGTGTAGAAATGTCAAACGTTAGCATTTTATAAATCAAAATAATAATCAACTTCCCGCCTAAAATGAAATCTTTTAACAGTTTGAATCACGTAAAATATTAGTTTCATATGTTCTACAACAGAAGTGTGGAAGAGCACATTTCTAAAGCGTGGAAAGTGTTTTAATGTGTAGCGATTGCATAGAACACAGACGATACTTTTAATTGTTGCAATATTTTTATCTGTTAACTTCTTTGTCAGTTAATTCTGTAGTACACTTCGAAATTTATTATCTGCTTCACTTTAAGATAAGTTTCAACGTGAAACAGTTTCGCTCACCATTGTTAAAATATTGCTTTGTTATAAAATACTTAACTAGCAAGCCAAACTTCAAGACATGTCAAATAACTGTATTCCCACTATTTCTTAGAGTTTCATATTGAACTCTACTTATCCCAAAGGACACAAGTGATACTCGTATATGTATGAACTAGAATACAAAAGCGTTCTCCTGAAATATAAAATATATATTTTAAAAGGGCTTGATACAACCTTCATTTATTATCAAGTCCAATAAAGTACTATTTGTAGTTTACGCGAGTAGTACACATTTAAATAAAACTACATTGAAAACATTAATATTTTTCACATGTTATTGCACATGAAGGCACTATACATATAATACAGACGATGCCGGTTCAAGTCCTGCGCGAGTCGAAAATTTTTTCAATTTATTTTCGATTTTTAAATTAAAACGAAATTTTTATTAAATTAATTACTTTCTTACTATCTTTATGCTTGAACATTTTCTTACATTATTTAAATAAGAGAGAAAATAAAAACAAAAATGTATTAATAAAATATTTAAAGCAAAGTGTAAATATTATTACATTAGTTTTTTTTTTTTTCATTATCAATAATGTGTTATTACTTATTCTATATTTAAACCACTGAAAGTATCATATTTAATGCGTTTTACGTAGACAAAACATTCCAACGACTTTGTCAATTGCAGACATTTACCAAATCGCCAAGGATTACAAGATTAAGCAAAACTAACCTTTCCAATTAATAATTCCAATTAAAATGACGTTGAACCCTTAAAGTTTTAATTAAAATTCAATTTCAAATATAAGCTTAACTGTGTGACGAAGGTTCTATGCTTCAGTTATTCCCTTTGCGGGAATGTGCTTTTATACCTAAGTTAATTGGTATAATTCTAAAATATATTTGGTCAAATCTAAACTCTAAGTTAATTTAGATTGATTGAGCTATCGCGTTAATTGGTTAAAGCAGCAATACGAAACGCTATGGATGCTGGTTCATGTCCCGCCCGAGTCTTGAAATGTTTTCAATCTAAAAAGATTTTGAATTTTTTAAATGCCGTCATGCAATATTTATTAAAGTAAAATACATTTTAAAATTTATTGAAATTTTGAACATTTTAACGTTACGTGCTTCCCAAAAGCAAGACGATAGTGGTCTATAAGACAGTCACACAACAAATATTTTAGTTTTAAACGCTGAATGAACTTAATTTTAGAGTACTTTTTTAAGTTTTAAATAATATTTTGTGTTATTCTCAATTGTTGTTATAATGTTACTACAACGACAGCAATAACACCAAAAAACCGGGTTATATTCCGTTTAAATTGTTTTATTTCTTTCCAGATAATGCACGATGGACGATTACAACGATAGTCTAATCTTCAACGACACGGAAAGCTATAAGCCCTATTCACAACGACCGGAGACCTACATTGTGCCCATACTTTTCGCATTCATCTTTATTATCGGCGTCGTTGGGAATGGCACACTTGTTGCTGTGTTCGTGCGGCACAAGGCTATGCGAAACGTCCCTAATACGTAAGTTATATAGCTTTATAAAGCTTTGGCGCAGCTTACTATGAGTTGTTTCGTGCACGTTAAAGGATTAGCTTATGGTTTTATCAATATGGCATAATATGATTTCTAATAATAACTATTGTCCGTATTTTTTGGGCGAGCAATATACGTTTAAACAAAAAAATAATTTTGCTTTTAAACAGTTTAAAACGTGATATATATTAGCTTATTTATTTTAATTAATTTTAACAAGTCTCCGACTAGTTTAGTTTGTTTCGGAGGCCTTGCAGCAGCCGTGGACACGGGGGCGAAAGCTGATGATTGTTTCGTAGCAGATGGCGAACGATGTAAACTCTTGAAAGTCTTTTATTAAATTAAATGTTTATTTAATTATTTAAATGTTTTACTATCATAAAAGATAAGTCTTCAGTTCAAATCCGTAGGTTGTCTATCTAATAAGACAAGTCATATAACTTTAGAAGTAATGTTCAGACTTTAATATTGTATTACGAAAACTTACACTTATTTCAATCGAAACTTACATCGTAATTACTGTATAATTACGTGGCATTACGATTTTTACCTTGCGTGTTGGACATCGTAGATGCAAATTATTTAATTTGCCTTGGTCTGATATAAGGGTAACATGAACTTTTGCGATTATTTTAATATTACCCCGCGTTTATGGTTTCCTGTGTTGATAAAAGCAAGGGAACTTATTGTACGACGAATATAATCTATGACCTTTTGAAATGTTGTAGTTGTAAGTAGTAGTAAGAATCAATACAAGCCATTATTGTCTCTTATTTTTTCATTATTATTTTTTCCTTAGACTCGATGACTAAGTTTATTAAAATATAATATATCTAATACGTGTATTTTTTAATACACCGGCAACAAAGTGTTTATAATTTACTAGAAACTGAACAAACTACATATAACTGTGGGTATATAAAACATATACCAATTTCTTTCCCTTGTGTTTGCATGATAAAATTCTTTGAAATTAAAGAAGTTGGTATTTTAATTTCTTCAACTGTTTAACTTATCTTTAGGTACGATTACTTCTACTCTACCGTACTTCGGTATATTATACTTCTGAAATTTCATTTTACAGAAAACTTATCGAGAAAAATTCATTTAGCGCAAAAAAGAGAAATACGTCTCTCAAAAGCTTTGGTAGAGCTTTATAATCTCACCACTAAACCGTCCCCGTTATTTAAACTTGAGTTTTATTTCCTCAGATTCATTTTAAAAATGTTTCTATATTCTAGTAATCCCGTCTGTATTATAAAATACTTGTTCTATTAATGTTTATCACAGTTAATAGTTATCATAGATAAATGTATGATTCTTTCTTAAGTCACACACGGTCTTAAGATGTTGATTGATTTAATACATTTGAATTATAACAACTCATTTAAATAAAACACTTTAACAGGTTAACCTTTACTTTAACGCGATATATTTTGGACTCACGTCTACCTGTGACCACGGCTGCTGCAAATTATCCGAAACGGGCCGTTGTTAAAATAATTTTCAAATAAGTTTAACGAATATATCACGTTTTAAACCGTTAAAGTGTTTTATTTAAACATTAAAATATTTTTTTAATTTTTACTTTTGGTCCTATATGTGAACCAGGATCCCGTTTCCAGTCTTAATATCGAACGTAAGAATATATAATCAAACTTGATATGTAATTAAAAATTATTATGTATGTGTTCTTAATATTTCTAAGCTGCCTCCTCTCAACTTGATAGCAATCAAAACTTTTAATGATGCTTCATTAAATATTGTTCCGAAATTATTATTTCTTATAATCATTCATTTGACGAAAAATTGGCTTCAATTTCGCGAGGCTTTGAGTCTAAATAGGCAGTCAATTTATTTTTAAATTAGTGAGTAAAGTATGATTTAATTTCTATTACTTGAGATATTAAACGTTACAAGTAAACAAAGTTAGCATGTTGACATTTAAGTAAAGATTTTGAAAGAGAATTTCTCTTAGAAACTCTGGATCCCAATAAACAGCATACCGGCAAACGCGAAGACACCGTGAGTCAATTCTGTAAGGACCCGGCCTTCTTCGACTTCGACGGAACAGATGGCGCTAGCGTAGCAATTTTTTACTTTGACGTCAGAGTTTGATGCTTTGCAGCAACCGTGGTCGCGGGGGGAGGGGCTACTTTGACGTCAGAGACATCCTCCATCTTTAGTCTCCCTGCGACCACGGCTGCTGCAAAGCATCCGAAACGTCGGGCCGAAGTTAAAAATAATTTTCAAATAAGTTTAACTAACATATCGCGTTTTAAACCGTTAAAGTGTTTTATTTAAATGTGTACTACTCGCGTAAACTATACACAGTATTTAATATTTTATATAACCGGTGGTGTATCGTTGTCATGCATATCTTGAGTTAAACTATCCCATCAATTCAATATTTTTTTTCATTAAAGCTTATTGCTTGACAGACAATCATAAAGTTCCCTCGATGGTAGATGACATACCACAGCAACATAACATATATACGAGACGATGAGATGCGCTGTCGGCTTATCTTGACCTTGATTTTTAACCCGACACCAGATTAAACTTGACGGCTTTTTCATTTGTGCTGGTTCGTGACCCGGATGGCATTTCGACATTCCTACCACCCTTTTAATGTCCAGATTTCCAGTCAAAGTTCAAAATTTTTAATTATTCATATTGAAAAATGTTGGACCCGGTAGGGATCGAATCCACGACCCGATGATTATTAGCTATACATTGTTACCATTACAAGTATGAGCCCATCAGAAAGAGTACCTTTTGATTTATATAAGGCTATCTAAGGTTGGCATAGACGGCTAACGAATATCTTTGATACACTTTTATATATAACTCAGGAGTGTGTGTTTTTTATTTGCAGATACATCCTCTCTTTGGCGTTAGCTGATCTCCTGGTAATCATAACGTGTGTGCCCTTTACATCCATTGTCTACACCCTGGAGTCCTGGCCATGGGGAGACACCGTATGTAGATTATCAGAAGCCGCAAAGGACGTCAGTATTGGCGTATCCGTTTTCACCCTGACAGCGCTATCGGCTGACCGGTATTTCGCTATTGTTGATCCGTTGAGGAAACTGCACGCTACAGGTTCGTAATATTTTTATATAACAAATCTTCTATTGCGTCAATAAATCTGAAAAACGCTAGTATGCAAATTTACTCCAGTCTATAGGATAGAACACATTTCAGTAAAACACTTTTAACGGTTTAAAACGAAATTTAAAAAAGAAACTATGGATAATACTGAAATTAAGTTTGAAAAAGAAGTTTAATTTTATGCTTGTATTTTGGAGGTTTACAAACGATATTGGTTATAAGGTGTTTGATAGACACAGTAGAACTGTAACATAGAAAAAAATGTGACATTAAACCAGATCGGAGCCCAGTGGTGTCGGGTGAGATGAAAACAATATGCGATTTATCACTCAAGAGCGACGGCGTGGTTTAACTCCGGGATAAATGTATGGGCTCGAATATAAATTGTATTCGCCACAATTTCATGCGGCTTGCATCACGTCGCTTAGGTTATACGATTACTTACCTACTTGAGTGCGAGCTCTTGATAGGAGCAACGGCGGATCCGGGGGGTGGGGGGGTTTTATGGGGAAATGACCCCCTGAGCTTGTTCCAGGCCTTAGGTGGAACACTGATTGAACATATTGATTTCATACTGTCTATAGTTTACGCGAGTAGTACACATTTGACTCCCCGTTTCCACGGCTGCCGAAACGTCGGGCCGAAGTTAAAAATCATTTTCAAATAAGTTTAACTAATATATCGCGTTTTAAACCGTTAAAGTGTTTAATTTAAACATATTGATTTTATTTACAAACGGTTATGTGTTGAAAACCTTTAAGTTTACAATTAAGAATCAATATTTTGAAGTATAGTACGTATCTATTGCTATCAAAACTAAATTAAAAATTCCCTATCACCACGGCCGCTGTAAAGCATACGAAACGTTAGGACATAGTTAAATTAAATTAAAATTAAGTTACCTAATACCTTTCGCGTTTTAAACTGTTCAATATGTTTTATAATTTAATTAACATTTATACATATTTTAAATGTGTCTACCCCATGATGGGAAGGCGTACCTACACTAGACTGCACTTATATTTTGCTGGTTAGGAGAGTTTGGCTTGTGGAGCTATTGACTTTTTCATATTCATATTAGGGAAATAGCCAGACAAATTCACAGTTCGATAAAACCGCGATAATCCCATATCCCTTTCTATGTTAACACTTCCGCTTACGGCGCTGAGGGATTCCATTCTACCATAAAAATAGAGTGGAAAGTATGCGGATCGGGAATTTCGCCTAACAATTTACAACTTGTCCTTGTCTGACCTTTTTCCCTATAGCGGAAATGAATTTTATTAACATTTATACGGTTCTACTGTGATTTTATCGTTGACATGGGGATCGTTCTGATTATATCTCTTTTTTGATTATAAAATTAATTTTTAATATCACATTGAATTTTACACTTCCAATAAAAATTTAATGATAACAAAAAAAAAATTCTTATCTGTAACCTACTGTCCACGTTACGTGTAAAATATAACAGCATGTGAATCACCAGTGGTATTATTGTTTGTTTGAACGCACTATCTCAAGAACATCTGGTTCGAATTGAAAAAATATTTTTGTCTTGGTTGGACCATTTATCGAGGAAAGCTAAGAAACATCAGGCTGCGAACAATAGGAGCAAAGAAACAGGGAAATGTGGTCATCCTTGTGGGCTTCTGTTGCGTGCGTTGCGAAAACGGTTTAAGAGAACAAACAATATTAATGAAAGAATGATTCTTCTTTTAATCATTTAATAAATCTTCGCGACAATATGTCTATCATTTAAGATGACCTTGCAAAGACGATGTCATTGGTAACAGCTAGTGTAGGTATATTTTGATTTATTTTTTATATTTATCTTTGTTACACTTGCATAATATTAGAGACTAGACTTAGAACTTGGACAAATCAAGTTCTTAAGCATTCAGCAGACAGATCATAACAGCTTATTTTATTGCGAAGTGATATCGCAACATTGTTGATCTTAGAAATCTTATTATCTAGACTATCTCTTTGCATCTGAAAGTATGCAGTGTTGACACAATATTCTTAGAGTTCCGCCTTGAGGAAATTCTGCTACACGTCATATTCAGTTGTCGTCTTAAAATAACTCCGTAACATATTCTTTTTTTTAAAACGTCATTGCACATGATAACATTATATAAATTAAAAATCTGTTAAGATTCAAAAAGACATAAGGACACGGGCGGGACTTCTATAGCAACTGCCATCTATAGCATTCCATGTTGCTGCTTTAACCAATTAAGCTACGCTGTGGATGCAGGCTCTTGTCCCGGCCGTGTCGTTATTTTTTTCAAGTAAATATATATTTTCTTTATTATTATGCGATAAACTCTAAAATGATCTTCGTAACCTAGTGTGGCGTAAGTTATGGTGTTTGAATCCAGGGCAATACTGCCATCTTTAGCATATAGCATAATTTGTAGTCCGTTTTTGAATTAATAATCTTTGGCCAGAAGAATCTTAGACATTTCCCTGCCTCTGTTCTCTTCTTAAATAAACAAGCTATGATATTTTTTCTGGACCTTAGGGTCTCTCGCGATGTAATGCAATACATTTGCAATTCAGCCCCAGAGAGATATTACGTATGCTTCGGAGGAAACGTATTGCAACACCTTATCAAAGATAGAGAGCACACAATACGCAAAGGTCAAATGTGAGCGGAGTACAACGCGTGGGTTCCGTATTATATCTTTATCTTTACTGCTATGTACTAAGTGAATCTGATTTCCTTCGTAAACAATATTTTAAGAGATCACTCTCTCATTCAAATGCGTACTTCGTTCGTTATGAAAAAGATATGTTTATCTGATAATATATTAAGTTAAAGAGCTTTTGAAAAAACTAGAAAGATTTTGACCAATAAACTAAACATAATTTTGCTTTGTTTCGTAGCAATCTAAGTGTGATCTAGTAGCATGTGTTTAAAGCATGCTTTTGACGGTATAAAGCCAGAAATATATTAGTAGAGTTATTCTGAACTACGACCCGACATTCTGAACAACTACTACATATACGAGGAGATATACGAGTCTGCCAGAGGCAGAGTGGCCTAATAACAAAAAACATGATTTTCAATAAGGCGGCAAATAAAAACGCGCAATTAACTTAGGCAAAGTGAATTTTTACTATTATTTGTGTAAGAATTATGTTAACAATATTCAGCGCCATTATGCTCTGGTAGATTAATATTTCAGATGAAAAGATAAATAACTCAAGTCATTAAATTGCAGTTAGGCTACTCTGCCTCTGGCGGCCACATATAGGTTTGGATGAAGTGGTGAGCATTTTATGTGGACTCATTACCGGACCATGATCCATGTTTGCAAAATAAAATATGCCATCGTTTTACTCACCCAAGCGTTATATATTACGCAATAATGTGATGTAAAACGACCCAGTCCAATTTGAGGCCATTTTCCACGAAATGTGGTTATTAGACCTTCAATATTGAGTTTGATATAATTGGCTATATTCCAGTCAAATCGTTTGTTATTTTGACTAGCCGTTTCGTGTTATGTGGCTATTTTATTAGATCTGTTTATAAGTATTAAATTTACTTGATTTTTCATACCATTCCATCGAAATTTATATTTGGCCGTTTACAGTGTAACATATTAAACAATATGTCACACTGTAAACGGCGGTTAGGATGTAAATATATGATGGTATTTATAGATAATTTTGAATTTAACTTATTTTTACCTCTTCAAACTTAGTACTGTCGACGTAACTATAACTATCCAGCATATATCTGGGTTTAGCCGTTTTTACGTATACAATCAATAAAATAGCAACTTCGGTAATTTAAGGCATGGGGTCGTAGTAATAAATAAATTAACTAATATAGTTTGTGTTTGCAACCGTTGATAAGTGCTACATTTAATTGTAGTGTCGTACCCGCAAAAAATACATCTTTATCATCATCACATACTATTGGTAAATAAAATACGACGTAATGGTTTTTATGACGATTCAGTGGGTAGTTGGATAATCGCCAAATCTTCGCAGATAGCCGGACTGTGCGGGTACCAGCCGGTATATTGTGCCTTCATTTGTTTCAGTAATGAAGACATTTTGAAACCGAAGCGCAGTGCGTGGGGTATATTCCAGCTTTATGACCGGACACTTAAACCTGTTCAGTTCAATTTAATTTTACCGGGGCAATTCAGTTGTTACGCCTACTCGGTATGACTTGAACGTTTTGTGGATGCATAAATTACAAGTTCCAAAAAATATAGCCAGAACCTTCAGGCGTTAGATCACATGATTATTATGGTGTGTATGTGGCTTTTTAAACAATTATAATTTTTTAGAAATTAAAACAATTTTCTTATTATTTAAATTTTGACGATAAATAGCTAAGAATGATGTTAGATTAATTTTTTATTACGTATTTATCCATACGTCATCACGTTTATGTCTGTTTTTCTGTTTGGAGCTAACTACCTCCAAACTTAACCAAGATTAATTATTTTGGTATTTTTAATTATATGGATATTAAATAATGTCTTTTCGATCACAATAACCTTTTCTCAAACATGCTTAAAAATTTGAGCAGTATTTTCACAAACTTCGTCGTCGAATAGCGGCCGCCAATTTTGAAAAAATATTCTCCCCTGTACCAAGGAGGTAACTCAGCACTATCAATGTTTTAATCTATGTTTTCTTAGATTATTTAAAGATTGATTGATGCACTGTTGGTGGTTGGTTGTTGTGGTTGGTTAGCTACGGAGACGGGAACAATTAAATAAGTCCAATTGAATAAATATTAAAACGGTAATTTCTACAAAAGCGTCTGTTTATATAATCAAAATTTAACTGTAGCATAAATTGTCTACAAAAGGCTTCCTCGAACAATTCATAAATATCCAAGTTTAATACTTCCCACGCTCATTTCCAGTAAAATGCAGCAACAGTGAAAAACATTTAGTGTTTTAAACATTTATTTCAGTAAGTGTTTATTATTTCTTTAGGTTAATTGGCTTTAAACG